GTGCCAGTAACACCACCACAGTGCAGTAAGATGGGACCACAGAGATGGATAGGAATATATGTTGGGTTTGAATCACCCTCTATTATTCGTTATCTTGAACCATTGACAGGAGATTTATTTAGTGCTCGATTTGCAGATTGTCGGTTTGATGAAACAATTTTCCCACAATTAGGGAGAAAGAAAAAGGAAATCAAAAGAGAACTTGTGTGGAAAGTTTCATCATTATCTCACTTTGATCCACGTACCCCTATATGTAATCAGGAGGTCCAGAAGATCATCCATCTACAGAATATAGCAAATCAAATGCTAGACGCATTTACTGATTTGAAAAGGATAAGTATGTCACATATCCCTGCATAGAATGCGTCTATCCGAATTGATGTCCCAGTAGGACCATCTACTAGCATGAGAGATAGTGAACCTAAAGCACGCCTGAAGCGTGGTAGGCCTTGGGGTTCTAAGTATCGAAATCCCCGAAAAAGAAAATCGACAAATGATCAAAACGATAATATAAAGGGATTTCCTGAAGAGACTCAAGATCTGATTAGTTCTGAGATTCCTAAAGAAATCAATGAACCTGAAGCTCAAGTGAGTAAGGAACTTTTAATAAGTTTTACCGGTGATGGGATTAATTTAAATCGATATGAAATAGTGGTGGATAATATTTTTGCATATAATATTTCACTTAATATTATGCAAGATAGTGAGGATCTCGAACCCCGATCTGTCGAAGAATCTCGACAAAGATTTGATTGTCCAAAATGGCAAGAGGCAATTCAATCGGAATTGAAGTCACTTGCTAAAAGAGAGGTCTTTGGACCAGTAGTCCAAACACTTGCTGGTATAAATTCAGTTGGTCATAAGTGGGTTTTTGTGTGAAAAGGGAATGATAAAAATGAAGTTGAAAGATACAAGGCTCGCCTTGTCGCACAAGGATTCTCACAACGACCTGGAGTCGGTTATGAAGAAACATATTCACCTGTTATGGATGCCATAACATTTCGATATCTCATCAGTTTAGCCTTACGTGAAAGTCTTGAAATACATCTAATGGATTTGGTTACAACTTATCTATACGCGTCGCTTGATAATGAAATTTACATGAAAACCCCTGAAGGATTTAAAATGCCTGTAGCATATCCAAAATCTCGTGAAATGTACTCAATCATATTACAAAGATCTTTGTACGGTTTAAAGCAATCTGGGTGCATGTGGTATATTCGCCTCAGTGAATATTTGCTGAAAGAAGGTTATATAAATAATGTTATTTATCCACGTATTTTTATAAAGAAAATGGCTTCAGAATTTGTTATACTTGATGTTTATGTTGATGACATAAATCTTGTTGGAACTCTAGAAGAGCTCCAGAAGGCAATTGAATATCTTAAGAAAGAATATGAGATGAAAGATCTTGGAAAGACAAAACTTTGTCTTGGTCTGCAAATTGAACATTTAGCAGACGGGATCTTTATCCATCAATCTGCCTATACAGAAAGGGTCTTAAAACGCTTTTACATGGACAAAGCGCACCCATTGAGTACACCAATGGTTGTTCGATCACTTGGAGTGAATAAGGATTTGTTCCGACCTCCAGAAGAGGATGAGGAACTCCTTGGTTCCGAAATACCCTATCTCAATGCAATTGGTGCACCAATGTATCTTGCTAATGCTACAAGGCCTGACATAGCATTTTCTATTAAGTTACTAGCAAGATATAGTTCTTCTCCTACACAGAGACATTGGAACGGGATTAAGCATATATAGCGATACTTAAAGGGAACTCTTGATATGGGTTTGTTTTATGCTAACAAAGAAAGTGCAGATCTTGTTGGTTATGGAGATGCAGGTTATTTATCTGATCGCCATAAAGCTCGATCTCAAACCGGGTACATATTTACATATGGAGGTACTATCATATCATGGCGGTGCTCCACAAAGCAATCTATTGTTGCTACTTCTACTAATCATGTTGAGATAATAGATATTCATGAAGCAAGTAGGGAATGCGTATGGTTGAGATCAATAATTCAATCTATTCGAGAAAGATGTGGTTTGGAATGTGAGAAAAGATCCACAATTTTATACGAAGACAATGTTGCATGCATATCCTAATTGAAGGGAGGATTTATAAAAGGAGATAGAACGGAGCATATTTCACCAAAATTATTCTATACACACGATCTTCAGAAAAAGCAGTGACATCGATATGCAACAAATTCGTTCAAGTGACAATCCGACAGATTTATTCACCAAATCTTTGCCAACTTCAACTTTTGAGAAGATGGTATACAAGATTGGAATGTGGAGACTCAAATATTTGAAACGAGGTTTTTATCAGGGGGAATAAAATACGCGATGCACTCTTTTTTCCTTACTAAGTTTTTTCCCATAGGATTTTCCTTATAAGGTTTTTAATGAGGCACCTAGCAATGCGTATTACTAAATATATGTACTCTTTTTCCTTCACTGGAATTTTTACCCACGGGATTTTTTCTAGTAAGGTTTTAATGAGGCGCATTATCTTTTAATGAACATCCAAGGGGGAGTGTTATAAATATATTATATTATGGATGTTCATTTAGTACTCCGTTGTAAATAAGCTTCCTGAAGAAGCTTATCCATATGGGACTCCGCCGTAAATATGTTTATCTATTTAGTACTCTATTGGAAATAGACTCCTGAAGAAACTTATCACTTTGGTACTCGGTTATGGATAAACATTATCCACGGTAGAAGATTATCCATACCAGGTACAATAAGCTTATCCTTTCGATACTCCGTTATGGATAAACATTACCCCTGGTAGAAGATTATCCATACCGGGTACAATAAGCTTATCCTTTTGATATTCCGTTATGGATAAACATTACCCCTGGTAGAAGATTATTCATATAAGCTTCTCCTTTCGATACTCCGTTATGGATACCATTACCCCTAGTTGAAGATTATCTATATTTGGTACAGTAGCAGCTTACACAACAGCTTGCTTTCTTGTATAAATAGAGGAGGTTTTAGTTTTTTATGTACATAAGTTTGAAGTTGAATAATATATCAGTTTCTCTCTATACTTGTCTTTAGTTTATTTACTTTACAGTCGCTATTTTATAACAAATTGAGAATTTACTTTTACTAAAACATAAAGGTTACAATTGTCTCTTATCACTAGTTGTGGGTACTTTTTGACATTTTGAAAATATATGCAATTGCTCAGCTCATTTTTTGTCATCGCTTTAATATTAAAGAGTAAATCTATTCAAAAGGTGAATGGTATTGTCTTTCAAATTAAAAAAAAAAAGAAGGTTAACTAAGTGAATTTTATTAAAAACTACTCCATATGTTACAAAATCCAAAAGCATTTAAAGGCTAATTTTTATCTTTTAAAAATATTGGAATAACCAACTCATTTTGTACTATTGGTTCAAGATTAAGGGGTTGTTTGTCCCATTCAAAAGATGAAGTGGGACTGTTTGATTAAGGGGATTCTATGGAATTTATTCACCGGATATTCCACTCTCTCCGGTTTAATTTAATTAATTTTTTACCCTTTTTTATGGTTCATAATATTTTATTTTTTCAAATATCAAGAAAGAATTAACTACTTTTTTTTTAAGTTGCTCTTCGAGTAAAGAGCCTAGAAGTATTTATTATATTCACAATGAACAAATTAAGGTTAGTATGGTCAATTATATTGTTAATTAATGCTAAAAGATGGATTTCTTAATATGTGTAAAAACAGCCAAAAAATCACTTAAAGTGGACCGGAGAGCAAAGGCATAGTCAATATTTTAAGTTTATGGGTTCTGAATTTGCCTCGGAACCAGTAGCTCGTCTTAGTTAATGGGTTTTCAATTAAATATTTATACATATTTATTGAATTTTCTAATATAAATACAGTGTTTAAATAAAAGTGATCGGGTTCGACGGACCTAATAGGCTAGCTCCGCCTCTGCCGGAGAGAGTAGTAACTTTTCTATTATGAAGAATATCACTACCATGTTGCAATATTAGTGATCCTAGGCACGGATTTAAAGGGTCAGTTACGGCTTCACGTGAACCCATTTGCCTAGATTTTGTGTGTGTATATAACTATATATACATATGTATATATTAAAAATTATTAAATATTTATAATTATTTAATTTTAAACTTAATTATTATTAAACCGCAAATTGACATTTTAAACTGCAAGGGAAGTGTTTTAAATTAGTAGTAATTCCAAAATGGTCAGTGCATGAATTAACCTCGAATTTGATGAATCAGTTTCCGAGAAGGAACGTCCATTGGATTCTGTTAAATGCAAGCTTCCCTTGCACCTAAACTACGCGTCAAGTTTGTTTAATTATACATATCTACTATTAATTATTGCAGATTAATTCCAAACTTTTTTATTAAAAAAAATGATGATCTGATACCTTAGTTTGGTTGCATCCCCTCTTCTAGGAAGTTGACTTAACTTTTGTACTCTTTTGTTCAATTTCCAATCAAGCGAATAAAGAAAGGAAATGCTACAAATTATGGGAACTCCTTAATCATCAATACATATATTTGTTTATTTCAATTTTTTGAATACCTCCACCGTGTACTAGTACTTCACTACTAACTTTATACTGTGTTTCCTTTTTAAAAAAAAAAAATTGCGTCGTATTCCTCAAAATAACACCAAAAACAATGATCGAGTTGATCCAAAAATTGTACTTGTGGCACTTTCAGAAACAAATTATTTATGTTTGTTTAGTTATTGTTCCAGCTAGATCTCTTTGTCTTTGTCTGTCTCAAAACCAAGCATGATCATCATCAACCAAAATTGACATGTGTTTTTTGGTATTTTTGTTGTGGGGATCAGGGATGGGCAGTAGCGGAAGCAAGACAAATTTATCAAAGGGATTTAAAAAATATAAAAGTAATGAGCTAAAAAAATTCAATAATTCATGTATATAAGAAAAAAACACCCTTATTATATACACAATATAATTTTTGACAAAAATGATTTGGACCTCCTTCCAAGCACCTAGCTTCGCCCTGGGGCTATAATTAATCAGAGGAGAGGTGGCTGAGGCAATTTAATAATGAACTCATTCCTTTTGTGGGATCCAAAGCAAGGAGAAAAAGAAACCACGAGAAAAGGTATGATTAAGATAATATGCCACTTCATAAGTTGTTCTATTACGTTAATTAAACTGCGGTCTGGTCTCTAATATTATGATTGTCTTATAAATATATTATATTATGGATATTCATTTAGTACTCCGTTGTAAATAAGCTTTCTGAAGAAGCTTATCTATATGGGACTCCGCCGTAAATATGTTTATCTATTTAGTACTCTATTGGAAATAAGCCTCCTGAAGAAGCTTATCATTTCGGTACTCGGTTATGAAAAAATATTACCCACGGTAGAAGATTATCCATACCGGGTACAATAAGCGTATCCTTTCGATACTCCATTATGGATAAACATTACCCCGGTAGAAGATTATCCATAACGAGTACGATAAGCTTATCCTTTTGATACTCCGTTATGGATAAACATTACCCACAGTAGAAGATTATCCATACCGGGTACAAAAAGCTTATCCTTTCGATACTCCGTTATGGATAAACATCCCGGTAGAAGATTATCCATACCTGGTACAATAAGCTTATCCTTGCGTTACTCCGTTATGGATAAACATTATCCCCAGTTGAAGATTATCTATATCTGGTACAGTAGCAGCTTACACAACAGCTTGCTTTCTTCTATAAATAGAGGAGATTTCAGTTTATTATGTACATAAATTTGAAGTAGAATAATATATCAGTTTCTCTCTATACTTGTCTTTAGCTTATTTACTTTACAATCATTATTTTATAACACGTTATCAGCACGAGACTCCGCCATCTCGAGCAAATACGTTGAAAGTATCTGAGGTACGAATTTTCTTTTTCTAAATAATGCCAGATCTTTCCAAACTTGAATTTGTAGCCCTGGATATATCGGGCAAAAGCTACATGTCGTGGGTGCTTGATGCTGAAATTCATCTTGATGCGATGGGTCTGGCAAACACCATCAAGGATAAAAATCAGGCATCAAACCAAGACCGTGCCAAAGCAATGATATTCCTACACCATTACCTTGATGAGGGCCAGAAAATGGAATATCTCACTGTTAAAGATCCAGTCATACTGTGGAATAATTTGAAAGATAGATATGACCACCTGAAGATGGTCGTTCTTCCACAGGCACGTTACGATTGGACTCATCTAAGGCTACAAGATTTTAAATCTATAAGTGAGTATAATTCTGCTATGTTCAGAATTATTTTCCAATTGTAATTATGTGGTGATAATATTACTGATCATGATATGTTGGAGAAAACTTTCACCACTTTTCACGCCTCGAATATGCTCCTGCAACAACAATATCGAGAGATATTAAAAAGTATTCTGAACTTATCTCACATCTTCTTATAGCCGAGCAACATAATGGGCTATTAATTAAAAATTATGAAAGCCGACCTACTGGTTCTTGTCCATTCCCTGAAGTGAATGAGACGAACTTTCACCAAGCTAAACGTGGAAGAGGTTGTGGCCCTAGTCGTGGTCATGGCCGTGGTCGGGGAAGAAACTCTAATCATGGTAATAATAATGCACCAAAGAATCCTCCTCATCACCAGTAGTGGAAAAGGAAGGAACAAAAGCATGAAGTGGTATGCAGAAAATGCATGCTATGGATGTGGAGGAAAAAGGGCACTGGTCACGTACCTGCCGTACGCCAAAGCACTTGGTTGAGCTTTTTCAAGCCTCCCTGAAGAAGACAGAGAAAAATGCTGAAGCAAATTTTATTTCTGAAGATAATTTAGACTTCATGCATTTGGATGTAGCTGATTATTTTGCACTCCCAAAAGGAGAAACAAGTCATGTAATCGGTATTGAATCTATAGAAATGTAAATATTTTAATTTTTGTTGTTTATAATAGATAGTATGGTTATGTAATTGTTGTACATAAATAAAAGTTATGCTTTGCTAATGATGTTTACTATAATATATTTTATTTATGTCATTTTGAAGAATATGGATAATTCTCAAATTATGTTTGGATCAAAGACAAATCATGAAGATATTTGTGTTGTTGATAGTGGAACAACTCATGCCATATTCAAGGATCAAAAATACTTTTCTTATTTGCATAAGGAAAAGGCAAATGTTTCAACAATTTCTAGTAATATAAGTTTGATTGAAGGTTTCTGAAGAGCCATTATATTTCTCTCTAAGGGAACAAAACTTATTATAGCCAATGCATTGTTCTCCTCCAAGTCCCGAAGAAACTTGTTGAGTTTTATAGATATCCGCCGAAATGGGTATCATGTTGAGACAATAGATGAAATGAACATGGAATATCTTTGTATTAAAAAAATATTTCTGGCAAGAAATGTATTGCAGAAAAGTTACCAACTTTATCTTCTGGCTTATACTATTCAAAATTTAGTACAGTTGAAGCACACTCTATTGTAAATCAAAAGTTTACGGATTCAAATACTTTTGTGCTTTGGCATGGCCGTTTGGGTCATCCTGGATCAATAATGATGAGACGAATTACTGACAATTCGAGTGGGCATCCATTAAAGAACCTAAAGATTCTTACAAAGGATGAATTTTCTTGTGATGCTTGTTATCAAGGCAAAATGATCACTAGACCATCACCAATGAAGGTTGGCATTGAATCCCCTGCCTTTTTAGAGTGTATACATGTGGATATATGTGGACCTATTCACCCATCAAGTTGGTTGTTTAGATATTTTATGGTCCTAACAGATGCATCTTCAAGATGGTCTCTTGAGTGCCTACTATCATCTCGAAACCTGGCATTTGCAAAGCTATTAGCTCAAATAATTCGATTAAGGGCACAATTCCCAAATTATCCTAGAAAGGCTATTCGCCTTGATAATGCTGGAGAATTCTCATCTCAAGCTTTTGATGATTATTGTCTATCAGTTGGGATAAAATTTGAACATCCTGTAGCTTATGTTCATACTCAAAATGGCCTTGCAGAGTCATTTATTAAACGCCTGCAATTGATAGCAAGACCACTACTTATGAAAACAAAATTACCCACTACTGTTTGGGGTCATGCTATCTTGCATGCAACATCACTTATCCGTCTCAGACCGACACATTATAATAAATATTCTCCGTCATAATTAGTTTTTGGTCATGAACCAAATATTTTGCCCATCTACGAATTTTTGGATGTGCTGTATATATGTCAGTAGCACCACCCCAGCGCAGTAAGATGGGACCACATAGAAGGATAGAAATATATGTTGGGTTTGAATCACCCTCTATTATTCGCTAACTTGAACCATTGACAGGAGATTTATTTATTGCTCGATTTGCAGATTGTCGGTTTGATGAAACAATTTATTATTTATCTGTATTGCTGTAAGTAAGTAAAACAGTAATCTTTCTGAAAAATAAAACAGAAAGTTAGTAGAAACAATTCTGAAAAATAATATTCGAACTTCAAAATAATTTTTGAAACGTTGAAGGAACAAATCGAGCCCACTGAATACACAGTGTGTCCTTAAGGAAATTATTCCCCTCAAGTACCCGAAGTTATGGAATATATCCTCCCAGGATAGAACGATTTAACTCACCGGAGTGTTGGTACCAAAAACGTCGATGATCAACAAACCACTCGATGGCATCAAAACACACTGGAATTTTAGTGCAGAAGAAGAAGAAGATAATCAGAAAATTTCATAAGTAAATATTCTGGGATTTGAAGGTCTATTTATAGCCAACTTGGTGATGTTTCTGAAGAGGTTTGCAACCTTTCAGAATAGTCATGACTGTTGGAACAGGTGTGACCCTCTGAAGAGGTTTGCAACCTTTTAGAACAGTCATGGCTGTTGGAATAGGTGTGACCCTCTGAAGAGGTTTGCAACTTTTCAGAATAGTCATGGCTGTTGGAACATGTGTGACACTGTTTCAGAACAGCCATGGCTGTTGGAAATTTTTGCGAGAAATTTAAATAAATTCGGGAAAGAAAAACGGGCTAGACCGGACCGAGTCAAGGGTCATCCCTCCATTTCTTTTCCCACCATTTTCCATTCACACCTCTTTTGTTATTATTTATTAAATAACAAACCCAATAATCCCCCACATGAATGGGTAATGACTATAACTTAAAGGAATGCACGGACGTGTGTGTGTTTTACAAACAAGAATTGATTGCATCTGGATAAGTAGGTTTCCCTTTGAACTTTCCGTAGTGAACTTATGTCGGATATACTCGGTCAATCGGTAGATTTGATATCTTTGAACCGTCGAGCTTTGTTGTAAACCTAGACAACATAAGTCACACAATCAATCCTTAACCATCTATGGTTCTCACGGTTGTGTTCGTTTCAGCCATGAACACCGCCTGGTTTCATGAGTGCTTAGAGAATGGGCCTTTACTTTCATTCTCCTTGAAGCGGCTTACATTTCACACTCACATAGGTGATTCGTAAACGTGTAATCCTAAAGACACACTATCTGGTCATATCCTGCCAGACTTAGCAAATCTTTAAAAAGCTTTAAGCTTTATTGACTCATCAAAAAAGCCTTAATGCTTTACCTCGTTTTTGAACATTGTCTTCATCACGAGAATGGGTTGAGTTAGTTGACAATGTTGAACCGTCATTCATAACTTTGTTTGATCTCTTTGAACCTAGCTCTTGGGATCTCCAGTCTGCTAGGTAGAGTTACCGCCATGATGACTTGTCCTAGGCCTTTAACCCCATTCCCTTAGATGATCTTTCAACTGCCTCTCTAGATAGGCCTTTTGTAAGTGGATCCGACATGTTATCTCTTGACTTTACGTAGTCAATTGTGATAACACCACTAGAGAGTAGTTGTCTAACGGTATTGTGTCTCCGTCGGATATGACGAGATTTTCCGTTATACATAACGCTCCCTGCCCTACCTATTGTCGCTTGACTATCACAATGTATACATATAGGTGCCAAAGATTTGGGCCAAAATGGAATATCTTCCAAGAAATTCCGGAGCCATTCAGCTTCCTCACCGGCCTTATCTAAAGCTATGGATTCAGATTCCATTGTAGAACGGGCGATGCACGTTTGTTTGGATGATTTCCAAGATACTGCTCCACCCCCAATTGTGAAAACATATCTGTCATGACCCCAGTTCACCCTCCATGAAACATGTCGTGATGGCACCTAGTTCCTACAACTAGGTAAGCCTAACAGTATGGAATAACAAATTAACATTTGTGGAACAATAAACTAAAACTGAACATACGGAAATAACAACTGTATATAAGGCCACTCAGCCTATACAACTCAAAATATGCGGAAGTCTGCAACTGAATCCCAAAACCCGGAAACTCACGGGAAACACAGGCTAATAGAATGTAGTAAACTGCTCTACACTAGAATGTCTAAACAACATGAAAGGAAAGAAAAGGAACTATATGCTAAAGCCGGAATAGAGTAGAGACTCCTGGTCTGCGAACGTAGCAGATATACCTCAAGTCTCAGCTAGGACTCTCCACCACGAGGATGATACGTCTGGGAGGAAGTACCTGGATCTGCACATGAAAAACATGCGCAGGAAGGGCATGAGTACACCACAGCGGTACTCAGTAAGTGCCAAGCCTAACCTCGGTTGGGTAGTGACGAGGAAGGTCAGGGGGCCTACGTGANTTCCTAAACGTGTAATCCTAAAGACACACTATCTTGGCATATCCTGCCAGACTTAGCAAATCATTAAAAGCTTTAAGCTTTATGACTCATCAAAAAAGCCTTAATGCTTTACCTCATTTTTGAACATTGTCTTCATCACGAGAATGGGTTGAGTTAGTTGACAATGTTGAACCGTCATTCATAACTTTGTTTGATCTCTTTGAACCTGGCTCTTGGGATCTCCAGTCTGCTAGGTAGAGTTACCGCCATGATGACTTGTCCTAGGCCTTTAACCCTATTCCCTTTGATGATCTTTCAACCGCCTCTCTAGATAGGCCTTTTGTAAGTGGATCCGACATGTTATCTCTTGACTTTACGTAGTCAATTGTGATAACACCACTAGAGAGTAGTTGTCTAACGGTATTGTGTCTCCGTCGGATATGACGAGATTTTCCGTTATACATAACGCTCTCTGCCCTACCTATTGCCGCTTGACTATCACAATGTATACATATAGGCGCCAAAGGTTTGGGCCAAAATGGAATATCTTCCAAGAAATTCCGGAGCCATTCAGCTTCCTCGTCGGCCTTATCTAAAGCTATGAATTCAGATTCCATTGTAGAACGGGCGATGCACGTTTGTTTGGATGATTTTCAAGATACTGCTCCACCCCCAATTGTGAAAACATATCCACTCGTGGATTTAACTTCAGATGATCCGGTGATCCAATTT